AACAGGATCGAACTGATCTTCGCTACATCCTGTAAGTCACCAACAACAAAGCGATATTACACCGAGGAAACTCATAGAGACGATAATCAATCATTTGGTGCATTTCTCACTTTAGTGCATTTATTTTAAGTCACATATATCACTGAGAGCTAGACAAAATGCCATATCTTTTAAGTGTGGAATGAAGTTTTCAAATCATTTGCAAGTAGCAGAAATTGAGATATAAAAGCGATCCATTATATCGGGAACATCTGTTAAAGATGAAAAGCGAACAAAACTTTAGCGATCAATCAATGGAAAGTGACTAACTGAAAATAGCTTACCTATCAAGCTCTTATATCTTACCTTTAATGGTTTTTGCATACTGTCTTAGATATGTGTACGGATTTTGAATACAAAAATCAAATTTAACTGTTGGCAATAATACGCGTTCATACTGTAATATAAGATCACCCTTTTCATCTCCCAATGTTGGTATGTAACGTTCACGAGGACCTTCTAAGATTTGTCGAGCTGTTTTCATTATGTCACGAATTTTTTTCGGCGTCTCTTCCACCTTTCCAGATAAAAATAAACAACATGTTGCCATGGCCTAAAAGATGAAAAATAACAAACTGATTCCATGAATGCTGACAGATCGATAGAACATACGAAACGTGGAAATTGTCGAAATGAATGAAACATGTAAAATCGATGAAAAAACACGGCTCCAGTACCCATAGTTTCTGGACGACTCAAATGAAAAAGAAAAAGGTGAATGGTGAAAGGTGAAAATAAATTGGAAAAAGGAAGCAATTTTGCTCCACGAACGAGAAACTGTTAGTTCCGATTTCATAGTCTTCAACAACTCTAGGTTGTCTCACATCTCGATTTCATACCAAAAATTTAGCAGACATTTGATAAAAGATGTACTCTTGGATTAATTAAATATTGAACTACTTACAGACTTAGTTTAAAACCGAGATCAAGAATAAATCGTGCACCCTCGTGTCTATAACGTCTTTCTGTTTCAGCATCAATTCCATCACGAATTGATGGAGTACTTTTCAGTTCTTTCTTGTCAAAATACCAGATAGACATACATGAGCTAGAATGATGATATCTAAAAAACGTAATACATAAAAAACGTTTCATCTTACTTCAAAACCTACTGCTAAGATTACTAAGAACTTATAGACTCACTATTATTGCCTATAGTCAATATCTTACGTGTTAATGTTTTCCATTTATTATTTCCATACTTCCATTTTAATTTATTTTGTACATTGGTTGATTAACATGTTACTTTCAGCTGTTCAGTCAGTTATGAGCGGTCAAAATAATCTAACGTTATTTGATCCTAACTACATAGAATCGTCATTGAAATGATATTTGTATCTCCACATATTAGAAGTAAAATTCGCTCTGTAACGTAAATCATCAGATAAAAGAGCCTGTTTCGGCTACTTTCATGTAAACAGACAAAACTTGGTGCTAAACCGTAATGAAAGAATAAATATTCCACATTTTTGAAACAATCGATATGTAGGTGGCGTCGGAGGTGCCGCTACCAGCACAACTACAATTTACCTGCTGTGATTCAACAGAGTAGTCATTTTTGAGATAAAAAACATCAAATCGATCCGCTAGTCAAGCTTGATTCCACGATGTTTTACTCCGACTTTTCTTCAGGTACATGGTGCAATCAATTTTTGATGTTTTGGTCAACCAGACAATGCTTCCATCACCCCACAATCTCTACTTGAGAAGGAAAAGTCAATATTAACATCGAGCCAGACAAAGTACAGAGCAATCCAAAAACTGATCACAGTGATCACAAAAATTATCTTAAAAACTTTTCAAAATGACAGCATGGAGCTCTCCGAGCGAGGCCCTCGAAACACTTTCCACTAAAATTGTTTTTGCCGTAAGTTTGCCATGTCAAAAGATGAAAAGTTCAAACTGATTACTCACCAATATGAACATCTTTTGTAGCAAAAAGATTTTCCTCCAGTGTTCTGGTTTTTTAAGAAAAATTGTACAAAAACGCAATTTTTGATGTTTTTCCCATTCACATATCGCTATGAAGATAAAATGAAAACTTAATACCAACGTATGATTTAGAAGTGCCAATCTGTTGTCTCTCTAATGGTGAAAACCATGGGACTTCAGCTATTTTCGAGACTTAATAGTAGAGGAAACGCTGACCATTAGTTTTCAATTTTCATCAACTTCCGCTCCCTCCCGCTGACCTACTGCAAGTTCTACAGACTGTCCCCATACCCAATGTTATGTGTATAGTGAGTACTTCAAAATCCTGAGCACTTGTTTTTGGCTGATACTTTATCTCTGAGAAAATTGATCTCAAAGATCAAGTTCAGATTTTTGAAAAAAACCGGGTTTTCTAGAAATCGTAACGACCGTGAAGTTGACCGTGTTAAAAGATCTCAAAATAAATGCACTAAAGTGAGAAATGCACCAAATGATTGATTATCGTCTCTATGAGTTTCCTCGGTGTAATATCGCTTTGTTGTTGGTGACTTACAGGATGTAGCGAAGATCAGTTCGATCCTGTT